CCCAAACCTCAAAGTGACCTTAAACAAAGTTCTAAAGCACACAAAATCAGAACTTTTATCAGTTATAGTTGAAGCTTAAAACAATAAGCAAGATAGGCTAAAAGCTTGTGCAAAAATGGGGAATAAAGAAGGTAGGTTCTCACCTTTGAAGAACTTCTTCAAGAACACCACTCCAGCACCTTCCTTGGATCAAAACCAGCCCAAGAACCCTAAAAACAACTCCTTAGAGCCTTAACAACCCAAGGATGGTGTAACACTAGGTGTCTTAGTGCAAAACTAAAACAAAAACCCTTTTAGGGCACAAAATATAATCAAACAAGGGAGTATAGATACAAAACTATATCTAAACTCTCTAACCTAATTTTTCTAAATCTCAGAGGAGGGAGGAGGAGCTCCCTCTTTATAGAGGCTCTAATCCTCAAGCTTCCAAGAGAAGCTAAACAAGAGGCAAATCCTTCCATACACGTGTATGGAGGGGGGAAATGTGGATGCCAGCTGTGACAGCTGGCATAAAATATCTGCAAAAAGCAGATGGAAAGGGGTCAGCTGGAAAATATGGCCGATTAACCAACAAAAATGGCCGGCAGACCAAAAACATTACCGACCGACCAAAATTTTTGTCCGGTAGCAAGAAAACAAGGCCGGTGACCTCAAGCCAAGGCCGGTGAGGTACGGGGATGGCCAACAAGCCATTCCCTGCCCTCCGAAGCAAAAACACAAGTGTTTGGTGCACAACCAAGCACAAAACAAACAAGTCGAGAGGTCTTGAGGCAAGGCGCGCGACCGAAACCTCCGAAAACTCCAGACGAACACGAACATGGATGATCACCGAGTGTTCAAACGGTGACGTCCAAGTCTTGAGCACGGTCAAAAATGGGGTGTCTATAGTTTCCCTCTTTGACAGAACTCGAAAGTCATAACAATGACAGGAGTGAATGTCAAAGCCCAGAGACGACCCATTTTTGACAAGGTCGAAGACTTAGACAAAGAATACAAGCTAGCAAGATATGTGCCTGTAGGCAGGGGCAAGATGCAAAGAACATGCATGATGCCGAACATAACTTATGATCATGCAAAGAGAGCTGTAATGAAGCAAATACATATAGTAAATGCAACAGTTTAAGCATGCGGATACAAATCTAACTACATTACATGCAGAAAGGATGTAAGAGAATTATTCAATTCTCACTACATCTCACGCGGAGAATACAATACATGTCCGGTTCGTTTGGTCGTCCCAGCTTCAAATGAACCGTACATAAAATATCGTGCCTGAAAAAGAAAGAAAACTTAATAGGTACAATATCATTAGAAACATGCATAACAATACAAGTGAAGTGTGCATAACAATGCGGGTGGAAGGGGTGCATAACAACGCAACCCGAGGGTGTGCATAACAATGCGATTTGAAACAAGCATAACGATGCTGAAGGCACAAACACATGTAAGTAAAGCATACGTGACAACGTATACAATGTGTGAAGGTGAGGAAAAGTATACACATGTACGTAAAGCACGCGTGGAAGCGCATGCAATGTGTAAAGCAAATAATAAAATGTACACATGTAAGTAAAGCACACATGGAAATGCATGCAATGTGTAAAGTAAAGCAAATATACACATGTAAGTAAAGCACACGCGAAAACGTATGCAATGTGTACAGCAGGAAATGAATACATGTAAGTAAAGCATGTGTCCTAACGCATGCAATGTGTAACCTCCTGAAAAATGTATGAACACATGTAAGTAAAGCACGCGGAAAAACGCATGCAATGTGTGTAACAATGCGAAAAGGGGAGAAAAGTCCATAAACACATGTAAGTAAAGCACACGCGAAAATGCATGCAATGTGTGTAACAATGCAAGAAAGGTGCATAACGGGTTAGTAAGGGTTAGTTACGTCCACATGCGGCACGCGAGTGGAGAGAAGTTAGTTACGTCCACACACGGCACGCGAGTGGAGAAAAGTTAGATACGCCCACACGCGGCACGCAAGTGGAGAAAAGTTAGAGTTACATCCACACGCGGCACGTGAGTGGAGAAAAGTTAGATACGTCCACACGCGGCACGCGAGTGGAGAAAAGTTAGAGTTACGTCCACATGCGGCACGCGAGTGGGGAAAAGTTATAGTTACGTCCACACACGGCACGCGAGTGGAGAAAAGTTAGAGTTACGTCCACATGCAACACGCGAGTGGAGAAAAGTTAGATACGTCCACACGCGGCACGCGAGTGGAGAAAAGTTAGAGTTATGTCCACACGCGGCATGCGAGTGGAGAAAAGTTAGATACGTCCACACGCGGCACCCGAGTGGAGAAAAGTTAGAGGTTGGAACATGTTCCGAATGCTCTTATCCATAGAAAGGGAAACATAGGGACATATCCCGATGTTCCCAAAAAAAAGAAGAGGGGGGGGCATAGGGACGTATCCCGGTGTTTCGAAGAAGGAACGTGCAAAACAATGCAAGTTAGAGGGGTGCAAGACAATGCACATGAAATATGCAACAATGCGAGAGATTAACATGCGTGATAATGCAAATGGAAGATGCATGACAATGCGAGTTGTTCGAAATGCATGACAATGCAAACAAGAGATGTATGACAATGCACGTTGTTGAAATGCATGATAATGCGAATTATTGAAACGTATAACATTGCGAATGAGACACGCATGGTAATGCATGAACTGAAATGCATGATAATGCGAACTATTGGAATGCATGACAATGCAAATGAGACACGCATGACAATGCATGAACTGAAATGCATGACAATGCATGAACTGAAATGTAGATGAAAGATGAATGACAATGCGTGTAATTGGAATGCATGACACTGCATGATTTATTGAAATGCATGACAATGCGAGATAAGGAAAATACATGACAATGCAAAGAGACACGCATGACAATGCATGAACTGAAATGTAGATGAAAGATGCATGACAATGCGTGTAATTGGAATGCATGACACTGTATGATTTATTGAAATGCATGACAATGTATACTATTGGGATGTACACACTACAAGAAAAATGGTCTACAGCAACGTTTCTTTTATGGCGTTTTGGGAAACGCCATTATAGATGGATGAAAGACAACGTTTTCAAAACGTTGTCTTAGAGCTCAGTTGAACGACGTCATATTGGGTGTATATATTGACACCGTCCATACTCCGTCTCTCACTTTCTCTCTGTCTCTTCCATAGCTCGGTCTCTCTCCCTCTCTCTTTCTCTCTCTCTTCGAAAGCCGTCGACTGATATTCATTGAACCAGATCAAAGACACACACACTCTCTCTCTCTCTCTCGCTCGATTGCAGATTTTGCATTGTATATTCGTCAAACTCTGGATCTCTGATGCTCTGGATCTCTGTTGCTCTTCATCGATCTGTCAGACCAGATCGATCTCTGTTGCTCCTATCTCAGGTACCATTTTCATTCTCTTAATCGGTGTTCGAGTTTGAACCAGTGCGATCTCTGTAGGTCTACTTTCTCATTGTCAAATCTGCTGATTTACTCTCTAATTTTTTCATTTTTAGATTAGATCAGATCAGATCGTTGAACCAGATCGATCAAATCTGGTTTGTAAGTATTCATCTCTAAGAGTTGCTTCATTCTTGTCCTGAATCTGGTTTGTAAGTATTCATCTCTAAGAGCTGCTTCATTCTTGTCTTGAATCTTGCATTGTTGACACATAATAAAGCATGCATTAGAATTGAGGTCCTTTTGATTTTTACCAATTATCTCTTAAACTGATCCATAAATGTATAGAAGAGTTAATTTGCATAAGAATTCTAAGAATGAGTGGACAAATCAGTTTTTAGATCAATGCATTGAGTAATGTTATTTTAATATTAATGGACGACAACAGAAAAAAGTAAATGATGACCATTAGAATATGACATACTATCGTCCTCATCATAATATTGCTTCTAGTTTCTTTCTTTGAAGAGCTTTGAGTTGACACTTGTGCTGGAAAAAAGTAATTTGAAGTTTTCAAAGTGTTAACAAGTTTAAAAGTATATGGAAGATATGTTGTGAAGTGTTGATGAGTGCCTAGATGACTCAATTAGGTTTTTGACATTTACTATTAAGCGAGTCTAAAATAATCACAGTGTACGTACAATGACAAAATAACAGAGGGTTTTTCATGGTTGACATATGCCTCTTGAAAGTTAAATAGACACAACCCAAGGAAGGCAAAAATTAATACACTTTAATATATCAACCATGAAAAACCCTCTGTTAGTCTTGATATCACTCAGGGTACATCAAATGACCAAAAGCTCCCCTACATTTTTTGAAATGCATGCGTAACCCAAAGAGGATTTAAGATTCATGTTCCCAAAAATTGAATTTAGGTTTGCAGAAGCTTATTTTTGTTGAAAATACAAGTCTTAAGAACCTTCCTTTAAATACATAAAAAATCAATTCCCACCAAATATCAAAACAAGGCTTCTAGACACAGGCATAGGTTAGAGATGACATGCAAAATTCTTTGCAGAGCATGCCAAGCTGCGATATTAACAGTCTTTAAAACCAACACAATCATTTGTCAACATATGTTTTTTTGCAAGGAAATGAAATAAAGAAGGAAAAAACTGCACGAATACAGATCTTAAAAATTTACCTGCATCATTGACAGTTGAAGCATCTCAATTTCACCTCATAAATTTTAAAAAATGAATCCTTTTCAAGCATATTTTAGACTAGCATCTCGTTATTATTGATTTTTCAGTGCTTGCATCCTTTTCCTTCAAAAGAAACTTCTGCTAAATATTCAAATACAAACTGTCGTAATTTGGTAGAGTCTAATAGGGGTTAGATTGTTTTACTTCCTAACCAAATCAAACATATAATATGGTGCTATAATCTTGTCCATATAAATGAAATAATACTTAGTTCTGAGGCTTTCTATGTATTTTAGCAAACCATATCACAAATAATTTTCTTGGCTAAAATTTGATTTGCTTTAAATTTAAATATATGTTGAAAAAACAATTTTATTCTATATTGCCAACAGTACACCTAAAACTAACTATTAAAGAAACATAGCTAACCTTTAGTGTCCATAACTTTATGAACTCCTGGCGCTGAACTTCAGGGTCTGAAATAGCAGCTAAGAAATCCATTTCATGGTGTGAAAAGTACCGCCTAGCAAAAGACAAGATATCACTCCTTATTGTCCGCTGCTTTTCTTCCACATCAATACCAATCTATGATAAGAAGGGTGAATCACATTCATTTAAAGTTACTTTAAACAACAGCAGTGGAGAAAAACAAGAAAGCAAAAAATTCAAGGAGAACCAAAGTAGACAAGAGGGAATCATAGTACTAACTTGAGAATCCATAGTAACCCCACAGGCTATCAAAGAAGAAGTATGGGAAAGGTTGATATGCAATGGTGGTGGGTGCCAATCATCACTTTGTTGCCACTCTACCTATCAACATATTCTATAAGAAAACATATTTACCTTTTTTATTTTTTTCCCCAATTTTTTTTTTTTTAATTTTTTTTTATAAGTGAGGCAAATTGTCAAAACATATAGATCATGTAATCTAGATTATGGAGAATGATATCTTAAAAGAGTTTCATTTTTCATTTTTTTGGTGTTTTATTACATCTGATCCAGTAATATTCTGCTTTTTAGATCATAATTAATTTAATTTGTTGTATTATAAAATATTCTATTTGAGGTACGATAATTGATATACTACTTTCACAGATAGTTGAACCAGATCGATCTCTCTTGCTCTTCATCTCAGGTACATTTTTCAAAGCAATTAATTCTTTGGTAGTTTTGTTTGTTTTTCATTACTTTCTTTGTTTTTCAAATCAATTAACTCTTTAATTTAAGATTTTGTAGATTTGTTTGTTTTCATTACTTTTGAGAGGGGGTGGTAATTGATTTGCAAGACAGTTTGGGATTAGATAGCTTATACTATAGATGGTCTCATGATCTCAGAGTGACAATGTATGAGATTATTTGGATTTTGCAATTAATTATCTATTTGGCAAGTGTGCTTGATCTATATTTTTTGTGCTTATATTTTTTGTGTAACATTATGATTTTGAATTTCTAATGTTTATCATAATTTTTTGTTAAGTAATTTGAAATCTACCCTCGTCTGCACAGTTTTCTTTTTGGGCTTTGATAGGGACACAAAAATGGTGCTATACAAATGAAATAGAACACTACTAAGATATATTGGTATGTGTGGGTGTTCATGTAGTAGTGAGAACTCGTTGCTTACTTGTGAGTACAAGAACAAACTAAATGAAGCATACCTAATATCGAGTACTTGCCATTGTTATGTGCTATCAATTACAATCATGGAATTTTTTACTTTGTGATCAATCAGGATAATCTGGTTGTTCTTGTAGAATCTTCGTTAGAGATACCTAGTTATCTTGATGAAATTCTAAATCATAATCTATCAAGAGCATTGTAGAAACTTTTAGTTTCTTCATTAATATGCTTCATGCTAGAAATGCTTCTAGTTTGCTTGATAGTGTTGATTCAAGTTGCACCACCGGGATGCAAAAATCATTAAAGTTGTTAATTTAGCAAGTAATTATCCATACATGCATAAATAGCCGTAGACCCGTCCAAGAATCTTCATCAGAGATACCTAGTCATCTTTGATGAGGCTCTTCTTGGATTGTCCAGTTTGGACAGTTCAGGAGCACAAGTCTATGTTGTAATTAGTAGTTCTACTGCTTAAATATAGTCCATCTCGTAGAGATTTTGTGTAGTAGCTCCTCATGTTCTCCGGGTGCATACTAGACAAGGTGTAGCAATACACCTAGTCTGTGTAGTGTACTTGGAGAACCATGGGGAGGTGCTGCCGAAATTTCGTTAAAGATGGATAGAGCGATATGAGCTACTTTTTACAATATAGACTATGCATTCCTGAATGGGAAAGTAGGATGAACCAACCTATTAGAGAAGAGTTAGAGGTGAATGGTGTCATGTCGCATGCATTATAAGGTACTTAATTGAGGTTAAGAATAATTACAATGAAATGATAATTTTAAACTTTGTTCATTTGACAGTGACATTTGTAGTGTAAGACGAAGTCAGATGGATAAAAGTTGGATAAATCAGCATAGGTTGCATCCAGAATATATAGAAGGGGTTAAGGAATTTGTTAAACTTGCATGCCAAAATAATCCTCTATCAATTGAAGTCACATGTCCATGTAAACGGTGTCGGAATGTCAAACTAGTGAAGAAAGACCTTTTGGGGGAACATTCAATGGTCAATGCGTTTCTTTCTAGCTACACTAGATGGATTTTTCACGGGGAAGATTTACCGGCGTCTGTGCCATTGAATGAGAATGTCAGTGATTCGAATGATGGCGATGAAGTCAATGAAATGATAAATGAGGGGTTCAGACTTCCTCCACCAAGCTTGGTTCATCGTGCTAGTAATGAGACAAGAAGTTCTAATATCGAACTAGGCTCGGATAAGAAAATGGAAAGATTTTTCAGTTTATTGAAGGAGGCCGAAAGAGAGTTGTATCCAGAGTGTCACAAGTTTTCAACGCTGTCATTTGTTGTTCGATTATTGCATATCAAGTGCCTTAGTGGATGGAGCGACAAGTCATTCACGATGTTTCTTAAACTTTTGAATGATGCATTCCCAAAAGGTGAAACTTTGCCAAAGTCATTCTATGCAACGAGGGCACTCCATAGGGAATTGGGCCTCGATTATCACAAGGTACATGCATGCCCAAGAGATTGCTCACTGTATTGGAAGGAGACAGCTAGTAGGGATGATTGCATAGTGTGTTAGATGCCTAGATACAAACAGTTTGAGGGTGAGAAAAATGATTATAAAAATAAGCAACAAAGAATTCCACAAAAGATTGTGAGATACTTTCCTTTGATTCCAAGACTTCAAAGATTGTTCATGTCATCCAAAACTGCTTCATTAATGAGATGGCATGCAGAGGGCCGAATTGATGAAGGCAAAATGAGACATCCCGCTGACTCTCCAGTTTGGAAAAAAATTGATAATTTGTATCCCAAGTTTGCAAGTGAGCCTCGCAATGTCAAACTGGGTTTAGCAGCAGATGGATTCAATCCATTCAAGGTAATGAATGTCTCTCATAGCAGTTGGCCAGTTATTATGATGCCATACAATTTGCCACTATGGTTGTGCATGAAGTAGCCTCATAGGATGATGACATTGCTCATCGATGGTCCTTCTTCACCTGGAAATAACATTGACGTCTACTTATGCCTTGTAGTGGATGAATTGAAAGAATTGTGGGAAAACGGTGTTGACAAGTATGATGCGGAAACTAATCAGATGTTCCGAATGCATTCTGTGTTATTGTGGACTATAAATGATTTTCCTGTCTATGCAATTTTGTCTGGATGGAGCACGAAAGGCGCTTTAGCTTGTCCTTGTTGTAACACACATACTCGTTCTCAATATTTGAAGAACGGAAGAAAATTATGTTACATGGGGCATCGTTGCTGGTTGAATGGCGTCACAAATTTCAAAAAGCTAGTGCGGATTTTGATGGCACTCGTGAATTCGAACCATGTCCAACTTGGTTATCAGGGGCTAATGTGCTACAACAACTAGGCCCTAAGGTCAAATTGAATTCTTAAGCATCAACCAACTAACAGACAAAAAAGAACTAGGAAAGGAAAGGAAAAAGAGGACAACGAGGAGGATCATAATTGGAGGAAGAGGAGCATTTTCTTTGAGCTTCCATATTGGGAGCATAATTTGATCCGCCACAATCTTGATGTAATGCACATTGAGAAGAACGTGTGTGATAACGTATTGTGGACGATATTAAATGTTGATGGGAAAGGAAAGGATAATTTAAATGCTCATTGAGACTTGCAAGATATGGGAATTCGAAAGGCATTACATCCTAAAAAAGGGGTTGGGAACAGGTATTATTTGCCGCCTGCATGTTTCACTATGAACAATAGAGAGAGAGGTTTGTTTTGTACACTCCTGAAGAATATCAAAGTTCCAGATGGGTATGCATCCAATATTTCTCATTGTGTTAACCTCAAACAACATAGCATATCGGGACTGAAAAGTCATGACAACCATATATTGATGCAACAAATACTTCCAATAGCAATGAGAAATTTGTTACCGAAGAAAGTTGTTGAACCATTGATTGAGTGAAGCGATTTCTTCAGGCAGTTGTGCTCCAAAACTCTAGAGCCAGATGGTTTAGATCGTCTTCAATCCCAAATTGCTCTTACACTTTGTCATCTTGAGAGAATTTTTCCTCCATCCTTTTTCGATATAATGGAGCACTTGCCTATTCACCTAGCAGAGGAGGCCAAGATTGCCGGTCCAGTGCAATATCAATGGATGTACTTTATAGAAAGGTGTGCAATTCTACTCTAATTTACAGTTGTAGTCATTTGTTTGTTTATAATTGAAAGTCATGTGTGCATTTGTTTGTTATAGGTATCTTATAACACTTAAGTCATATATGCGTAATCGAAGTCATCCAGAAGGTTCAATTGCAGAGGGATACTTAGTTGAAGAGTGTATGACCTTTTGCTCAAGGTACTTGGATGATGTTGAGTCAAAATTGAATCGACCAATAAGGAATTACGATGTTAGCGACAATCCTGGGATATTATTGGGTCATGCTTTAGGAAAAGGAAAAGGGTTTGCGCTTGATAACACATCATGGGTTCAAGCTCATCGGTATGTGTTATTTAACACTGCTGCAATTATCCCACATCGAGAGTAAGATACAATCTTTGTTCCAAAATTTTATTGATACCATTAATAAGTATCTTGCATTTTATAGGTACTTTAAATGTATAGGGAGCATCGTGATTTTATTAAGCGGTCACTTCGTTGTCTCAAAGATTTTGATGTGGATTGCCGTCACAATGATGAGTTTCCCAGATGGTTTAATTCTCATGTAAGTACTAATAACTTACATGTTTTTAATTTTCAATTCTCATGTTTTCAATTTTTAATTCTCTGTTAGTTGATGTTTAATTTTGTTAACTTTGTAAAAATAGATTGAAGAGCTTCTAGCTATTGAAAATGCTGTGTTGTCAGATGAGATTAAAACTTTGGCATTGGGACCTAGTAAAAAGGCCACGAGATTCAATGGGTATATAATTAATGGTACTAGGTATCATACGAGGAGTCGTGAGTGGAGAAGAAAAACTCAAAACAGTGGGGTTATGGTGAAAGCAAAGACTTGTAGCTATGCAAGTACCAGAGACATGAATCCTGTGGAAGGTGAAGTAGCATACTATGGATATGTGACAGATATTATTCAATTGTATTACTCATACGACCGTAGATATGTGCTATTCATGTGCGACTGGATTGACAACAACAAAGGACTGAAGCAGGATGGGTTTGGTTTCACACTTGTTAATTTCAATCATTTGTTATATACAAAGAAACAAAATAGTGATGAGCCATTCATCCTAGCATCTCAGGCACAACAAGTTTTCTATGTTAATGATCCCGTTGAAGCTGATTGGGATGTTGTAGTCAAGATGAAACCTAGAGACTTGTATGAGGTGTGTGGAGAACAACCAATTAATGATGGAGAACATCACAATGAAGTGGAAGGATTTGGCGACCAAGAGTTAGATGCAACTTCGTTTGCTTGTGAAAAGGACATAAATTGGGTTAGGCAAGGTGAAGTTGGAACAACTATTGATGAAACTATTGGACCTCTTGGGATATCGACACAGACACAATCTAAAGATGATAAAGAAATGATATGATATTGTAATTTTGTTTCATATTCATTGTTACATTTGTGCGTCATTTGTTTGCTTTTCAACGTGATTGTCCTTGAGACAACCTTTTATGTCCTTGAGAAGGATCATATCTGTTATATTAAGATTGTGTTTAAAATTTAAATTTGTAGAGAAACTTTTTAATATTTTGGACTTTATATTCATTGCTAACCCATAAAATTCTACACGTATGCTTGTGGTCTTCTGTAAAATAGCATGACAAATCGACGATGCTCTAGGCAGAGGTAACATTCAGCCGCTGCAAATTCTGAGAGTTCTTATAGTGGGAGTGTAGATGAGAGTTCTTATAGTGGGAGTTCAGACAAGAGTTCAGAGGAGAGCAAACGCATCATACCTGATCCACCCATGTCATGGTATCCTCTAGGTAGCTTGCCTAGTACATTATCGAGTACTGGTTCGACACATGACACTACTGCTGGTATGAATTATTTTATTCAATTGAATTACTCCATTAGATTTCTCTGTTGATGTTCTTTTTTCTTTTGATGTTTTATATTTCTTTTTTTTAAAATAAGTGACACTACTCCATTTGCTCCATTGACTGCTCAATTCTTGTATTATCATTCTTTCTAGTATCTTCTAACTTGATATTGATATTTGGATGAGTAGGTCATAGTTCGAGAGGCCCAACACTCATGCATGGTAGTGATTGGAACCCAAGTGGTGGCATTTTACATATTGTGCCTAATGAGTTGAACCAAGTGGCTGACGGGTATACACCCTTGGCTTCTCGTTTGGGTGTTTTAGCTCGAGATGGGAACCATATGCCCCTCACTTATAGAACTTGGAGCCATGTACCGAAGGAAAACAAAGAGAGAATTTAGAGAGAAGTAAAGGTAAAAGAATTATTTCATTTTACATATCAATTTTAATCTTAATTTGTTATTATTTATTTTATTTGTTTCATATTTTATAGTTGCCAGTTTGTTTTGTTTCTTCCTTTTGTTGTTTCCTTGAATAATTGGAATCCTTTTCTCTCTCTCTCTCTCTCTCTCTCTCTCTCTCTCTCTCTCTCTCTCTCTCTATCTTTAAGATTCTTGATTTAGAAGCCTCTTTAATTTTATGAATAACCACTGCGTATTGGGAGTAGTTAACATGAAATATGTGTATAATGTGTGAAAAATGTATAGAAATATATAAAAGTGTATGAGACTGTTGAAATGTGTATTAAATTTTGAGACTGTTGACATGTGTATTGAATTTTGAGACTGTTGAAATGTGTATTGAATTTTTACCTTCTAATGCTGAAGTGGGCAGTCCTTGGCAGGACTCTTCTTTAACTTCTAATGCTGGTCAATTGTGATGCGAGCTGTAAACTCGAATGTTTAGGGCTTGCTGCTGTGTGTATGCTGCTGCAACACCACAAATGCCTTCAATATGTTGTCGGCTCCTAAGCTAACCAATCAAAAGCCTTTTCATCCTCCTCTTTTAAGTGCAGGAATTATACCCTGTCAAATGGAAACCAAAATCAAATTTTAGAAGTAAGTAAATGCTATATACAAGGTAAAAGTAAAAATTAATAATAACAAGTATTATACCTTTTGTTAATCTGTTATAAAGGTCCAGTGGTGTTGTTGTTGAGGAGTAATACCCAAATCTTGGAGAACCAGCCCAATAAACCACTCCCATGAGTCCATATTTTCAATCTCAACTACAGCATATGCAATTGGAAATCAGCAATTATTGGGATCAATACCAATTGCTGTCAACAATTGCCCACTGTGTGTACCTTTTATATGGCAACCATCAAGACCAAAAAATGGTCTACAACCTTCTAAAAGTCCCCTTTTGCAAGCCTCCAAACAAACATATAATCTTGATTTGTGAAATTAGCTACTGCTGTGGGCTTGCTGCTGTGTGTATACTGCTGCGTGTATGTTGTTGCTGTTGTGTGTATGCAATAGTCACAAAGTTGCCAATTATTTGCAGGTCAATACAGATGCCGAGGAGTCAATGAAGAAATTTGTTTTGGCATCTGTTGGAAAAAAATGGAGAGAGTGGAAGACTAGAGTTAAACAATTAGGGTATACGCCATTCGACAACGATGCTGATGGGTTAACTCATCGGCCCGAAAGAGTACATGGCGAAGCTTAGTCTATTATTGGGGCACTCGGAAGGCACAGGTATCATTTAAATTGTTTATTGAAATCTATCGTAATCTCATAAGATGAGTTTGTTAATTAATAAATTATCTTGTGTTTGTGTTCATATGTAACAGAAAAAAAGTACAAAAAATAAAGAAATTCGGAAGAAGAAGACATTAAATCACATAACTGGCAGAAAACCATTCTCAGTTGTTCGAGTAAAGGTATATAGTTTCTTTATATTTCAAATTGAAATTTTATATTTTGATTTTGTTACTTAATTTTAAGTGTAATTGTAGGAAACTAATAAGAAGAATGGAGTTCCTGCAACGCGCTTAGAGGTGTGGATGGCTGGGTACACGAAGGATAACAAACCAAGTAATGATAAAGTTGTTGAGGTCATGGTATGTAGCACCATAATTATATCCTTTGCATGTATGGAATGTATTAGACACTTGTCTCAATAAGACATAAATCTGTTACTAACATATATATAAGGTACTCAGTAATTATTTTTGGTTAGTGTGCCTGACCTAGAAGGCAGAAACTTCTCAGGAGCCTTTGTACCTAATGAAAGTGTGATCATTCTAGTCTTTTTCCCTTTGCTATTCTAAGGCCATTGTGTACTTTAACACAGGATCTTTCATTCAATTTTTTCGCATGATCGAATTTAGTGAAAGCTTCTTGTTTGATTCCATTTACCTTTTTTCGCTGCCAAATCTACAAGTCAAGGACTGTATTTTTATGAATTCTGAATTTGAGCATATGAAGTGGAAGTGTCATTGAAACAATTTTGAATCTGGATTGATGATGTTATTGAATTCATATGGCCCAATAGAAGCAGGTTACATTTAACAGCACTAGTTATGAACAATTTTATTGGTGGCTAATTACTAATTAACAATTGTAGACACAAATGAAGGACCTTGGGGCGCAATCCAATGCTACAGATGAAGAAATTATCACACAGGTTCTAGGGCCTGAGCGACCTGATCGTGTTCGAACATATGGATTGGGTCCTTCCCCGACAGATGTCTTTGGAGGCGGATATAGGCAATCGCAAGAACAAACTCGTATCATCCAAACGCAAGTCCAAGAGCAACTTAACCAATATAAAGCACAAATGGAGATGCAAATGAAGGAGATGATGGATGCTATGCTTAATCAACAGAAAGTACAAATGGAGATACAAAGCACAATCCAAGCTCAAAAAGCACGAATAGAGCAATTGGAGTCTCAACAGGCCATGGGTGGGCCTGTTGCACCAGCTGCTACACATGTGCATTCACAACAACAATCCCATGCATACACCTCATCGTTTAATTGTCATCGTTCGTCCAAGGAAGTGAGTAATAGTTAATTATGAAATTTTCATACGACATTTTATTTATGTTATTTGTTCTTATCAAATGCAGGTTCACATATCAAAGAAAGAAAAGAAGAAGAAGAAGAAGAAGAAGTAGATATGACAAACTCAGGTTCATTCTAAACCATTATAGTTGGATTTCCTTCCTCCTTCTCACTTATTTGTTGATTGGCTTCAGATTCAGTCTAGTTAGTTGAGTTCTATGATGTGCATGGTCATAAACATTTTGAGTCATTTCCTTTAGCAACAGTGGTTACATCTCTTTTCCTTCCTTGAGTCATTTCATTTTGAGTTATTTTGAATCTTGTGACATACTATCAAGGGAATAGAGTAGGCTTTTCCACTGCCAGTTTATTTAGGTTTATTGGGTTTCAATAATCAGTGGTTTTTGTAACAGTGCTTAGTGCATGTATTAACTGCAGTTGAAAATCTCATTCTAATTATTTAATTCATATTTTGTTCAAGCAGGTGATGCAAGTCTTATGTAGTTGATAATAAATGGCATCTTTTTCCCATGATGCTGGGAGTGAAAAATTGAAAAAGAAAAATCAGTATTCAGGTTTATTGTGTGAATATTGTTGTTTATGCTGGCTGTGGCTGTCAATGTAGTCCAAGTCCTATTGCCGGGCTTGAGACTGTCTGAAAGATAAGATTAGATGTTAAACACATATAGTGGGACCAAAAATGAATAAAAAATAATGATAATGAAATAAAAGCAGACTTTTTAGTTGGGAAGAAAATTTTGTATGTAAAATATTGGCTTTTACTGCAGTGACCAGGGGTCTTTCTTTTTCTATTAGTTTTTTTGGGTGCCGTGTGAGAGACTGGAATGATATTTTCAAGGCTTTGATGTAATTTACTCATTTTGGCTGGGCCATGCTCATGATTACACAACCCTATATGTGTGGTTTACTCATTAGTTGATGATGACATTCTTTGAATTTGTACTGAGGTTGTATGAGAAATAGTGGTGCCTTTCGCTATTTTGGAGGATGGTTCGGAGAGGGAGTGGTATGGAGATATCTGTCTAATTTGATTGTTTCATCTAATCCGTATCAAATTGTTGACCATGCTTGTACTGTTCGCTGGACCTTTTTCATTCTTCATGTCTTGCAGGCTTAATGTTATAGTTTGACCTTGTTATTAACTATGGTTGTGCTCTATTTATGGGATGTTCTGTAGGAGTTAATCTTTGTTTCTTAAATCAGACTGAATAGTTACTTTTGATTAATATGTTAATTTTTGTGAGTTGAAGAAATCAGCAATATGTTTTTCAGGTATGCGAGTTGTCCCAGATTATTTGACGATTGTGTTCTTGATCCTACTGGTGGAAGCAGACAACTACTATGGATGTGAATTAAACCTCTGTATTCCGTTTTCTTTAAATAAATTTCTTGCATGTAATCTGGGTACTTCTATTCTAGGACTTAAGGAGAGCATTATGTTCATGTATACAGAGTCACTGCCTTGCTATATGTTTGGGCTTAAATTTAACCTCATGTTTTAATATTGTAGCATGTCAAGTTTTAATTTAGGAAATTGGTGAAAAGCTTCTCAGCACAATTTTATAATGAGAGATAACTAGGGCTGAGGAAGGGAACTGACAAATCTGTAAATTGAATTGGTCTAGTCAAATCCTTTAGCAACAATGGAAATGACCATGCACATCATAGAACTCAACTAAAAATTAAGTGAAAATTGGTCTTGGATTGTGTAGTGTGGGTCATTTCCTTTAGCAACAGTGGTTACATCTCTTTTCCTTTGAAGACATTTAATCAGATTACCTTCTCTCACACTGTTGTGCATTGTCTTATCCTTGCAATTTAATTTTCCATTTTATTATATTATTATTTCTATTTTTGTTTCTGAATTTCAATCAATCATTTTACAGGTATCTTTCGGCTCTTTTATATTTTAAAATAAAACTACTAGTGGTGCTCATGAGATCGTTGGCTGAATTGGTGTCAAAAGAAGTACATTCCTAGTTACATCTACAGAAAAATGGTGAGAAATTCAAGTTACTTTCACTGGGCATGTTGATTAATGATGTGTTATTTTTTATTTAAATTTCAAAATAGAATAGGAATGGGAGTCCAATTACTCTATTTCATCAAAAACAGAATGTGATAATCTTGTAGAATATCTGGAGTCCTACAAGTTTAAGCATCTCAAATTGAATATAGTTTTTGAGGACAGGTTGGCTATTGGTACCACTATGGAAGAGGTGTATTCCCTGAACTACTGCTTGTTTATGTCCACTTATGCTTCCTATAATATTCCCTGACATGGCCCTTTTCTCCTTCTCTATTCTCTCCTTCATTTGGCTTGCATAATGAACTTCTCAATGAAATATATAAAAATCACCTACTAAAAAAGAAATAAATGACTTTTTTTTCTTATTCCATTTATCCCTTTTTTTGGATCATTATACATTAAAGCTGACTTTGTTTCTCTGTGCCTTCGTCTTTAGGGGAGGAGATAATCTCTGGAGCTCAACGTGTCCACGTACCCGAATTTTTAGCTTTCGAATCATGGTTGAGAGGGAAAGCCTTAGACCCGTCAAAGTACAAGCAACATTTGGGTGTTATAGGAAAATACAGGATTGCAAACATGACTTCTCTTGATTCAAGCCTCGGCCCAGAAATCGATCTAAAAGTCAACGTAGACAATTCACCTGGTATGAAACTGGAAGATCTTAAACTTTATGACTTGATTTTTTTTTTTGGTTGTCTTGAGTTTCTAAAACTCAACGTGGACATGGAATCCTTTGTTTGAATTGCATCCTATGGAAACAATGTGTTACAGACTCATGGTTGCTTAGATGTCTTAGTTGACAATATGCATGTATATGACACTAGATGTGAAATTTTCACTTGAAATGATGATTCTGGTGAGATTATATTATGCATGTATATGGCATGTATTGAGGATTGGTTTTAAATCTAGCAGTTTGGTTGCATAGAGCAAACATAAAACATGAGATCCCCCCCCCCCCCCCCCAAAAAAAAAAAAAAAAAAAAAAAAATTGGCGTTTTTTGAAAAACGCCACAAAATGACTTCACACATTAAATTCATGTAGGGGACAAGAAAAGAAAAAAAAAAGTGGCATTTTTTTAAAAAACGACACTAAATGACGTCATTGTGACATCACACGTTAATTTGGGACGGAGGATGAGACGGTCGTCAAAGATTTTACGGTCTAATATTTTTAGCGATGTTTTTTAAACATTGGGTAGCTATTGCAGCGGCCCTATCAGCGGCGAAAGTTTTACACGTCACTATAAGATATTACGGCGTTTTTCAGGCTTTTCGTGGCGTTTTAAAAACGCCGCTAAAAAACGAATTTCCTGTAGTGACAACAATGCAAATGAACTCGAATGCGCGACAACGCACGTGTAATTTTTTTTTTTTTTAAATGCACGACAATGCAAATGAACTCAAATGCGCAACAATGCACGTCTTTTTTTTTTTGAAATGCACGACAATGCAAATAAACTCAAATGCACAACAACGCGCGTCTTTTTTTTTTTGAAATGCACGACAATGCAAATGAACTCAAATGCGTGACAACGCACATTTTTTTTTTAAATGCATGACAATGCAAATGAACTCAAATGCGCGACAACGCACGTCTTTTTTTGAAATGCATGACAATGCAAATGACCTTAAATGCGTGACAACGCACGTGTTTTTTGAAATCCATGACAATGCAAATGACCTCAAATGCGTGACAACGCACGTCTTTTTTGAAATGCATGACAATGCAAATGAACAGTGCATAACAATGCAAGTTGTGCGTGTTACAACGCGTGTAGACGTGCATAATGATGCAACCTATGTATGTTTATCATAAACAAGGCAAAACATTGTAATGTAACGCATTTTTTAGCGAAAAAGCTGTTATTGAATCTCACGAGATACCAAAGGATACGAAAAGGATATTCTTTGCATGTACTGAGCACCGCATACAGGAAGCATGGTTCGAGGTCAACACGAAGGCCGGTTGAGCTTCAAAAATGCACTTTCTTGCACTGTCTGAAGTAAAGAAGGTCCCAAACCACATAATTGACCCAACCAAGGGTGTAGGAGATGCACCGGCCACCGGGGAAGACCACCGACCATCCATCGGCCACGAAATAAGGTCACCGGCCAAATTTTTGGCCGACCAGCTAACAATTTGGCCGACCGGCCAAAAATTACTGTGTCGAGGCAGTTTTGTCCTTTGGCCACGGGTCTTTAAATATGTGGTTCCAAACCCCATATTTTCACTTCTCACAAGCTCCAAAACCTCTCCCCTCTCTCTCTAGGTGATTTTCCAACCCTCGGTCGGTGTTTTTTCCTTGTTTTCGTCGCTTTTTGGTCGTTCGATTCGCGAAACCCTCCTCGTTTTTCACACGTTTTGAACAAAACAAATCTCAGTTTCGGTGTACTTTTCTTGATTTTCACCACTTGGGGTTTGTTTCCCCCAAGTTTACCTCGATCTTTGTGCCTTTTTCGGACTCCGACCTTTCTGCCCATTTTTCACCCTCTCGGGGTTGACTTTTGGGTTGATTTTTCACATTCTTGCTCGGTTTTCACACTTTCGACCATTTTCAATCTATTCTTGAGATGGCAAACGACATTCCAGGCGGTGGGGCTCCCCCGGAGTTGGACATGGACCCTGAGGCCGAGCTCCCGCCTCTTCACATCCGGCCGTTCGATTCGGCGACCTATAGGCCGGCGATACACGTGCTTCCTCCTGACAGCCTCCGTCACTTCAGGAGCTATGTGCGACGCATGCCACTGGAGCTTCTGTTGCGCGAGCCAGAGTCACATCTATCCTATGGCGCTTCTAAGGTACACTCTTCCCTGTTTCATTTTCTGCAATGTGGAACACATAACTGTAATAGCGATTATGTTCTGTAACTGCTTAACTCAGACACACTAATACATCACATGTTGTAGTTCACTGCGAGCACACCCACACCCGATACCTGTTTGAATCTGAACACGTGTACACACTATGTATTTTCCACTGAACCACTCAAACACACTGATACATCACATGCTGTAGTTCACTGCGAGCACACCCGCACCCGATATCTGTTTGAATCTGAA